GTTTTCTCTTCGAGTGATCTTTCATGTCGCTATTAGTGGGTTACGTTATGCAATTGAACGTACAGAGTGCGTGCCCATCCGCCACCAGCCAGCTAACGATCTAGTTGTTGATAACAATGTCTATGACACAGCTGCTACTATAGCCATTGCAACTGTCATCAAAACGCATACATTTCCCTGGCCCCCTTTTCTACGCACTGCTGCGCTGACAATTAGACGGGGTGAACAAACGTGCATATTCGACCCACTGCACTGCGCTATCTTCCCTCAGCCGCGCCTTTATGCATTATGAAGATCACTGGCTCATTTTTTATGACTTCCCGCAGACATAGGCCAACAGTTACGCTGTGGTCCTAGTAATTTTACTAGCTAGGCTAGCGTTCGTTAATTCGTGGCTTGCGTGACACTGTTTGCATTTATGTATACTGTCCCTATCTGTTGCCCCTGAATGCTTTCAGGGAAATTTATCGCTGCGAATATGGGTATGCGTAACAAATGTGCTTGTATTTATGTAGCGAGTAAAGCTGTACAAAAGACGCCGCTGAAAATACGCTAAATCGATAGGCGGTACCATCGGATTATGTAATACAACAGCGTATACGGACAATGACAGATTTCAGTGAATAGGAAGCAAGAACATAATGGCGAAATTGAAAATTGATCATTGAGTCCCTCGTTGGCGTCACTGCTCCTGTCGTTCTTATTGCTTCTGATAGCTATTTCTCTATATGATTGGCTTCGCTTCCCATTACATCCCTCGTTCTTCCTTAACGTGCCACAGACAACGGAAAAGTCCACGGATAGTATGTGGGCGATATACAGTTGCTTTGCTGTGCAACGAACACCCATTTTTATTACTGTTCGTTGGGTTTCTACGAAGTGTTGAACGAACGTCTTTAATGTTTAGACGAGTGCAGCTGTCGACGAGATTTGCCGTTACTGCAACCCCGGCGCCGGCTAATGCCGACTACTGTCGCCACTACCGCCACAGCAATCAAACGCACGCAAGCATTGCTTCGAAACTAGGTGTTTGCTTATTTTACTCAACGGACTAATCAAGCGAGAAAAATCAATAGGAAAAAGACAAAGTTTCTCGAACAGCAAAGGGCCGTGGCTATTTCTCGAAATGCGTATTACACAAAGATCACAATATTCTAAAGACATCTTATATATAGGTGTGTGTACATATAGGTATAGATAGGCAGCAATCAATAATAGTGAAAAAAAACAAAATGGTGTGAAAATATTCCGGAATATAGCTGAAGAGCTTATTGTCCATCTAGTTATATGTCTGCTGCAGTGCTTTTTCTCAACATTGTTGCGTTCGGTATTTAGTTTTTTTTTTTTTCGCTTAAGCTCCGTACGAGCTTGATACTGATGAATCGGGTTGAGTCTTGAGGGCTAACCGAATACTCCTAAATAAGTGCTAACTGTGACGTTAGCCGATGTAATGTGGCTGCTGAAATTGGAGTACAATATAAGATCGATTATTATTAATATTAGTATTAGAGGCCAAGCTATTTATTTGTAGCTAATAATAAAAACGTCGTTTTTTCATTCAGTTAGCTTGACCCAGTGCGACCTAGCTTATGTCACTGGATTGTACTATAGAGGTCTGGATGCATACATGAACCTCGATTCTTGGTTTGGCGCGCCTCAGTGAAATCTTTCTTTTCGACGTTTTTGCACCAAGTCTAAATGGCTCTGTTTTCAGTAATACTCGCTATTACCAGCTCTGTCCTGCAGTTGTCGCTCGGAGGCGGCCGCAGGCTATCCGCCATATTCAATCAAACCCGTCTTGCATTATATAACAATGATTACAACTAATCGATGACTATGAACAGCCATTGTATGCTCATAGAATTATTTTGCGCACGTAAACGGATTAAGAAATATAAGGAAAAGAGAGACGAAACGTGATAGCCTTAAAATAAATAGCAAAGACCCAACTAGCGCAGATGTCTACCAGGCAGACAGACAAAGCGGCACCCTCCTCGTACCCACAGCTTGAGACTGTGGTGGCGAGATTGCAAGCGGAGGCAGTCTCCGATATACTACGATAGCTGGCACAGGTACGAAAGCGGCCACACGATAGGATCGAACACTTACTGTTGAGCACTTAAATGTAAGAAAACTTAACACCGAGACCTCGTGATCTTTTCAAGACCTACTTGAAGTGTCACCGCTGCCGGTGCTGTTCTGCGGCGCGTGCACCGCTGCCTCCGGTCTTTTGTGTGTATGTGTGTGTGTGTGTGCATACGCGCGCCTCGATGTTTGGTATGGCGACACCGTAACCGATAAAATGGGACAGCATACTTTACCGTGGCCACTGCAGTCTCAGCCGACCTCTTCTTTCATCTTTATTTAGCCCATATGGCAGTGGTGATGAGAATCATCATCAACAATAGCAACCACAATATCGTCGCTGTTCTAGGCGTTACAGGCGCGCCAATGGCATTTGTACAAAACGACCTGCGACGTCCAATCGGCTGTGCTCGTACAAAGGCTTGGGGCACATCGAACAACCGGGTTTCTCAGGCCATCGCCGCCGCCTCCTCCACCCAATTCCGCTGTCACCATCACCATTACCTCCGTTCTAACAGTCAAATGGCTTCGCTGAGCTTGGCAGAACACGTAACGATAGTGCGCGGTGCCGTAAGTGAGCCATAGATGACGCTGGTAGCAGTGGCTGAACTTGAACGGGAGAACTTGTCTTGCGCGGGTTTCTTCACGAGCTCGTGCTGTCCCGCTTTCTGCAGGAAGCAGAACCTGCTTCTTTAGGTAATAGCGATTACTAGTCGGTCTCACTATTTTCGTCTATCGGTGCTAGTATATCCTACGATTGGTAAGACTATCTCTTATGCCTTGGCAATATGTAGGATAGTCAGGGAGACCTTTGTGTGATGTGGTACCGCCCGGGTCGGGTCGGGTCCTGCCCAAATAGACCAAATGTGCGACGATCTCTTTAAGCGGTGGTGGCAACGTCTGGTCGAGGCGAAAGCATGCTAATTTCATATCTACCGTAGTACAGTAGTAATAGCAACGGGCAAAGCGAGAAGTGCTCGTCCCCAATGAGGTGCGGGAGTTAGTGTGGATGTTTGTGTGTTGTGTGTTACGCGTTCTGGGTTGTCCGCCGGCCACTGCCGCTGGCCCCGGAGCAACCGGCTTATGTGCGATTAGCGGTTCAGTACGAGTTGTCAATGTAGGCCGCGTAGATTCGTTCTGCCTGTTTATATGGCCGTTTCAATAGGGTGGCGTAAACGCTCTGGTAACCCGATATGCACAAATCAGTGCACAATCTGTGTCCTGTTGTTACAGGGTGAAGACAGCCGATTCCAAGTGGCGAATAAGCAGAAATCGTCTAGACGCCTAAAAACGCTGTGTATGTAAAATAGTGGCTATTAGGGGATCCGGCTTTCATCATTCCACGTTGGGCAGCTGATGCTGACGGCTATATAGCGGTCTCTGCCGACACCGCATCAAGAAGCCATCAAAAAGCGCAAACTAACAAATGGGCAAAGATGATCGCGTAACTGAATGGGAGGACAAGATCTAATACAGGATCGTTACACTGAACGACCACTGATTTCTAGTGTTTCATTTTTCCATTAAGTTTTCGCCGATTTCATTTGCCAGCGTTGTATTCTAAACTAGAAAGAAATCTCAAAGAAAATCTGTTTTTGAGTTTTTAGGCCTCGAAGCCGGGTAGGGCCAGCTACCCGGACAAACCAATGAACATTATGGCGTCCTGTCATTTTTTGAACAGAAGTAATGGTATTGGTAAGGGGAGTATTGCAGTTTACATAAAATCATAAGTTTAAAGGTAGGGTATATAGGCACTAAGAAATCAGAGGCCTTTTAAGCAATATAGATACATGGATCACGTCCCGTCGGTTTCACTCAGCATTGACACAACAAAAATGTAATCACTGTAGTTCCTGTAATGTAACGACTGTCTCGTTTCCATATTCGTATTTGCGGTAGTGTTTTTGTCACAGTTCAGTCTCAACTGCAAAACTTCCAAATGAGTAACTGTACAAACGAACCATGAGTGCTTTTATTTGGAAAGAGTTCCATGATTTCATGCATATCATTATACAGTTGATTTTATCTGTATGGCCAATTAATAATTTGCGCAATTTTTATTTTAAGTGTTAATATTGTTATTAGGAAGTAGACACTTGACCCTATGACTGTGTCTCAATACCGGCATGTACGTGTCTCCTGTAAGCGTGACATCGGCGAATTAGACATGCTGATCTACGCCGTTTTTATTATTGGGCGATGCGTTATACAGTCGTAGTTAATTATGGTTACTACGTCCTGGACGTTAGATGTAGATGGCCACATCAGTCATAGAACTTGGCAGACGAGATTCAACTTACAGATCATACGTTCGTTTTTATACAGTCACAAATCTGACAACTGTAAGAGTACTAACAGCATCTAGACTACAAACTGAAACTAAGGATCAGGGAACTTAAGGGACATGACAATCAAACAACAGATTTACTTTCATTGATAGCCCAATGCTATATGAATCTATTTGGATAAGTTCTATTGGCCTGCCAAGTTCCCTTTAGCTGTTACGGACCTGCCAGTCGAATCGAGCCAGAGGGCCCGCCAGTAGTCGTACTCGACAGATACTGTATATAATATTCTTAATCATTCCGAGAGGGATGCTGTAATGCAAATCGTGGGAGTTTTGTTAGTACCCCACAGAGTGTAGTGTATTCACAGGGAGCAAATTCGCTGCAGCTAAAAGGGCCAAACCCAGCATATAACTTGACACAAGCTCCTAAGGTTAAATTGCTATGTTTCAACACTTTCTCTAAAAACAAGCTCCTAAGGTTAAATCGCTATATTTCAATACTTTTTCTCTAATTGGAGTATGGTAATGAAATTGCTAGTACTTTGGCTGATACGTTTATTTCTGCGTTATCTGGTTCATTGAAGATATTCGATTAAAGTATTGCACATTGTAATATTTGTTATTCCAGGGTGAAGTTTGGCTGTGCATTAGAAGATACGTGTCGAGCACATGGGGATATCCCGGGTCCCCTCCTTGTATTAGTGCTTTGCATCAATAAACTCGGGCCTCACAAGAGGGACGTCTTCCGTGCACCAGGACATCAAGGTAAGAAAAGCTTTTTATCGTGAAAACGTGACTAATAATAATAATAACACTGGTATTGGACATCTGTTTTTTTTCTTTCATAAGATGTTCTTGAGAGTTTCTCAGTTGTTTTATCCTACTAAATAAAACGAATCTATTCTATCTTCTAGTACCATTCCGATATTCTAAAAGCCAGGACGTTTCTCGCTTCGATGGCAACTTGGAAGTATACTGAGGCATCTGCGCCAAAAACACACACACACACATATAATAAAGGCCCATAGTTCAATCTTGCATGTTAATTTACACGGCACGAAGACGAACCGTCACTATTATTGTTGTAGATGATAAGGATCTGGCCATTTATCGGTCCAAATAGACTACTCCATGCACTCGCCTAAAAGTAAATCCTGCTCACAGAGAGTGGAACTTCTAGGTTTTCGATAGTACTGCGTCAAAAGCTAGGTCGTCAGCTAGCTCTTATAATCACAGTAACCGTTGAAGCAGTTTAGTTACTGTCTTGCATCTATTCATAACGTGCCACACGTAATTGGCTATCTTCGACGTCTTTACAACTAGTAAAGGAATAGCTGCTTATAGTTTTTCATTCCAATTAGTATTTGCGTATCTTTTAGCTTTAGTTGTTCATACAGTCATTCGTTGCGGTTAACATATTTCGGATTACCATGAATCAATCAAAATTGAAACACTTCGTTTATAGATTCAATTTGCTACGACGCCAGTGAAAAGACAATCTCAAACCTTCCAGTTTCATATTAGGTTCTTACGTTGTCTGTTGTTTCTACGTGGGACGAAAAATGACAATCATCATTCGTTGATGACCTGTCGATACGAGCGCCACTATCGGCAACGCTCTCATCTCCGCAAGTTTAATCGTAAGAGGACTCTAGTATAATTATTAGTTGTTAGACATTATTTCAGTGTCCACACCGGCCGTCTTATAGTGTAGCCATTGATCGTTTGGCAAACATATTGATAGGCGGGGGAGGGAATGAGCCGACAGACATATTCATTCCTGTAGATTCGAGCCACCGCCATGCCAGTTGTTGATACTGGCTAGTAAAAATATCAACTATGATTAATCGACACGCAACCAGCAAGACAAATCAACTTCGTATGAGATCAGAGATGGCTCGCAGAAGTGACTATAACGGATAGAAAAGCGGACAGTTGCCGTTGACTGTAAAACTGCTAACCGATCATGAGCCCATGTCCGCCAGATTTGGGCGCATGATGTGTTACAGCTTCACTTTCGCCGGCTTACTTTCCCAAACATGATATTAACTGATACCACACGCAGGCGATTGGCGCAGCGTCACTCACCCTTCGGCAAACAATCCACCACCAATCAATTACTTTTATCATTTTGCTTACAGATAATGTTGATTCGTAGTACTTGGACTCTGTCTTTATCCAACAGTTGTGGTGTGGAAACACCATAATATTATTCTCATTATTATTAGTCGTAGTATTATTTTCGGAACACAAATCGCAACAATTAAATGGTCCACAATGAACTGCTGCTTGTGGTATATACAAGACCTCAAATTCTTGAGAGGTAAGCGAATGATAACCGCGTACATTCTTTCGCCTTCCATCCACTTACTCGACCTCGTAATCCCCTAAACGTTGCTTGTGTGCTGACCTGCATAACAATGTATTGGAGCAATGTTGGTCGCCACTTGTTAATTCCAATCGCTGGTTGGCAAGTGACGGTTGTCGACGGCCCTTAGCGGTTGGCGACTGATCGCCGTCGAGTCCGACCAGGCAGGCATTTGTTGTCCGTTATTCTTATACGCGGAGCCTAATCGTTGTTGTTTCATTGCTCCTTATTTCTATCGATGGAGACAACAATCGAATCGAACTACTCGAAAGACATAATTTCTGCTCGTGCTAACATGGGGACACTTCAGCTGTCACTGTTTCAGCTGTGACTGGCTATCTGCCATTGCCGGTGGGTCGCAAGCAGCGCTCTGATTCTGTTAATAAAACCTTTTCGCCTGTCTGTGTAGGTGCATAGCTCAGGGTTAAGTTGTTGTGAGCCGGCAACTTGGTTGAGCTGCCGGCTCTCGTCCAGCTAGTCGACTGCGTATCATCTTCACGCGAAACGACACTCGTCTCAACGCGTGGAATAGAGGGAAAAAGAAAGAGGCCGAGACAGGCCTTAGATATTTTTGCCTTCGCTGTCTATGCCATCGATACAGTCATCCTTTAATTCAACGCACGGGCCGTGCTTTGGCACAGTAATTGCGGTACTATTCGACGTCTCACTCGTTGCTAATGATGTATTTTTGGTTCGAGAGAAACTCGTAAAGCATAGACAGGCAGTGAGTGATCAAAATAGAGACAATGCGGAACAGAAAACACAACTGAGCACTGAAGAAAAACTAGATGCGATAGATGATGTGGTCCGTTTCAGTTGTACCAATAAGGTAGTTCTAAATAAGCAAGCTCTATTGAGTCTACGGCCAGGTGCTGGGTCGATTTGTTGTGATACATTATCGATATGTAGTAGCAATGATCTGTCTATCCCTTCATAAATGTGTGCAAAATGGCCGCATCAGACTCGCGGTAATCGTCGGTGTTGTAAGCTCCGTTGGAAGCTGAGCCGCTGATACCTGTTTGTCGGGGATTTTGTTTGTACTATCCACGTGCGTCAATGGCATTTAACATGACAACCTGTCGTGTCGAGGTTTTTCGTTAATACAATATATCAAAAGGAAACAAAAACACCAAATCGGTTTTATCAGCTGGTCAGGACAAGTTGCCGTCCAGCATCTGACGAAAAGGATTAGACGCGCACACGAAAAACCGACGGGGGCTAAAGGCGGGCGGCCACACAGGTGCAACACAAACGATATGCAGCCTACCAGGTGCCTATTTAATCGTAGACATGACTATTATTTAATCTTCAAGCTTTGTTTTTATTGTTATGATGGAGCACCATTACCACACTCTAGTTAGTTTATGTTGCACGCTGATCATAGCGCGTCGTGCGGCACTTGAACTATTCTTTTTACCTACAATACTTTTCGCATTATTTAAAGGTATTTTTCATTGCGCTTCGTATAGCGATAGCGAAATTACTACAATGAGTAAATAAAAGATATACAATTCTTGCTAGCTCGACTTCAGTACCGCAAAAAACCGAGAGAACCACCTTGCAGTCGGACGTTCATATGTTTCGTACGGTATTCAAGATGCATTCACATGGCTCCCCGCTATGTTGCTATTGATTTCAAATACATTCATATGTGTTCAGCCCTGAACGGGTCTTTCCTGAAGTTAAGCATAGGGTATGTCAAACGCGGTTTGTGCTTTCGCAAAAAATCTGTTCATATTGCTACAGCTGTTGTCGATGTGAAGATGTTTGGGAGTGGGCGAGCTCTGGCTGAAGGCTGGAGTCGGCAATGTCTCTTTTTTCATTTGTGTATTGTTTGATAGACACGCGAAAATTGCCTCTTGTAAAAGCTCCGCTTGAGAATTGCGCGGCAGAATTCGACTAGTTGATTGGCTCTGAAAACGTTTTAAACTGGCAAGGTTCAGGAGTGTGTGACCAGGCGGATTCGTTCGGACCGCATAAATCTGCGGTTTCCCGAGAAGCGCCTAAAAATCCCGCTGTATTAGATCAAGAGATCAACATTTTCACTAGTGAATAATATGATATCCAATCTAGACACTTCAGCTCGAACGATTCTTCTTTCGCTGTAAAGCTCGTATCTGTTGAAGGTGATACTTTTCCCTACCACTATACTAAATCCTAACACATAAAACCAATTACTTTTTGTCGAACATCTCAATGCCATCACTACTGTATTGAAGTCAGTCCTTAAATAAAGACTTAGGGGTCGGTTAGCAGCATCTGCAATCTTTACCCGATTTCGGATCGATGGACAAAGCCAGAGACAGCTTCCTCTCTTTTACAGCTACACCGTACACACTGCAAGTAGCATAGGAGAAATGTCTATTGTATCTCGTTCAATTAATATCTGAGAAAATAGCATGGCTTCTTACTCCGACGGGCTGTTGTTACCTTCTTACAGTATATGTTTAGTCCTGCGCAAGCCATAGATCCGATCAAAGTTGATGAACAAGATTATGGCTGTGCCTTCTCCCTGGTGATACTTTTCTTTTTGTTTTTATGTGTTTGTCTGTTTTATGCGGACGCTGTCCAACTCATGACGAGTGCCACACAGCAGAGACTGGTTGGCGTCATCCCCAACCCCTGGTTTCTCCAGAGAAACCGCACGGATTAAAGCGTTTGCCCGCTATTAGCTGTCTTGGATAACGAAGCAATATGGCTCGCCATTGCAATCTGACACAGCGCAATGTCTAAACCGTACAGAATGACATATCAGTAGTTAGCCCAGTTTTAATAGCAACTATTTACTGGCATCGGGAAGACACTTGTGATGTTCACCTATTACGGTGAGGTTGATTCGTTTATGTTGTTACTGTTCGTGTCGTATTGTATAGGCCTTACCTGTCACGCTAGTTGTTGGTTATTCAGTGCGTCATATTCGGCAATGATTCGGCTATCGATTTTGCTCGTTTTCCACATATTCATTACGTTTAATGATATTGACCCTCGGTATGTGTTATCTAGCTGATCCGCTACGTAGTTGACTACAGGCACAGTTGTGGACCAAGAATCACTACTCAGTGCTTATAATTACCACAGATATAATGTAGCCTAGAACAAAATTCAGAATCGATTTAGTGCGTGTCGATCGGTACCGTGGAGGTAGTGCGCAGACAATTCGGCATACTGGCCGATCTACTAGCGAAGTCCACAGTTGAATGGCCTTAACGGCGATCGTCGTAATAGCGGACGTTGTCGTCCCCAGGACGGCCTATACTAAAAAGCTATATCTACCGCTATTGTCCCCGCATGAATCTTCTGCTTTGTTCATCGTATGTCCTAGCAGACCGGCATGCCTTACGTGCGCTCACACACAAACATTTACGGGCAGGCATTTACGGGCAGTACAGCATCAATA